TCTATGCACTTTGTTCGTTATTCTTTCTGATGTTATGTCAGGGGAATGTTGGTAACCACTACCAGTAATCAAAGAAATAGTATACCTTCTGTTCTCTTTTTCAATGAGCTTGAACCGTTCGGGACATTGTGGACAAAAGCTTATTTTATTTTAATTGATTTAATTAATTGTTTTTATTTATATATTTCGATTATTGTCAAGTTGCTGCAATGATACCGTTCAGAAAAAAAAAGAAAAAAGTTGGCCACTGGTTCATAGTAGCAATAGTATTAATGATTCTTAACAAACACTTTAGAAAACCCCGCCATGGATGGTTAATAACCATTAAACATGGTGTGTTTAAAAAATGAATGAAACACCTTTAATTTGGTAAATGGAGTTCAACTGGGCTACTGCTTCTGGCATTTTAATTTGGTAATGTTGACCTTGTTTTGTCTGCCCGGTTTACCTCGGATTGATCTGATAATAGATTTTCTTTCACAGCAATTAATCCTGTAGATCTAAATCTGGTTTCCAAAAGTATCTATGTGGAAGATTTACTCAGTATAATGAAATATCGAAACTTTATTTATTTTTTTGTTTTGTTTACTGGAATAGTACATTCGTCTCAACATTTCTGTCCTTGTTTTTGCAAAGCTATGTTAAAGTTAATGATAGACTTAATTAGCATTTTTCATTCGTGTGACCTGATTTGAAGTTAAAATGAATTCCAAATTTGCATGCAGCACCTTTGCTGTTAGTTTAGCCGTATTTCATTTCTCCAAAATGCACTTTCTGGTCTCCCTTTTGCGTGAGCTGTGGTCCTCACGGTGGCGTAAATGTCAGCTTTTGTCGAAGCTGTCTCGAGCTTTATAGGGCTTTGCTTTCATTGTTTTTTTTTTTCTTGGACCTTTTTGCCCGCTCTTCTCCATACCTGGATCAACCTGATCCAGAGAGCTTTGAAAGGGTCAGATGGCTCTCTGCAGCTGTGTGCTCCTGTCCCTGTAGTCCTAACAGTAATCTAGGTAAAGGCTTGTGAGGTTCTCCGGTCACAATCCTATGTCAAGGCAATTTATCTTATTTACTGGACATCTAGCACTTGACCAACAGTTACTTTGTCTTATACATGTTCATACGCACTCGCACTTACACAACCTTGAAGTGTCACAAGATGTTTTTAAGCGACTGTGACGGGTGCGTTGCTCACCTCACATTAATTCTATCATGATTTATATGGTTTATTCTGAAGTATAATTTATAATTTATTATGGTTTGTTACTTGATTTAAAATCCCTTAGTATTATTAATAAACACAGGACAAGGTTATGAGTTAAACAGTTTATTAAAGTTTGAACGTATGGAAGGGTGCACACTACTTACATTCTCTCTTTACTGTTTGATTTTACCTGAGTCCTGGATTCCTCTGGTCCATGGAATGAGCGGCCGCATTCCATGTGAACGCCAACAAAGGAAGAGGCGGGGCTTCAGCCTCCACTTTTGAGCTGTTCCAGAGGAAATTGGACTGTACCATCTTGATCCGATAAGGAGGGGGATTCCTTTTTATTATTTCATCCAGTTTGATTTCTATTTTGTTTGTTTGAAGTAGTTTGTATTGTGCTTCAAGCAGTTGATTAAATTATGTTTGTTATGATAGTGTATATTTTTTAGTTAAATATTTGTTGTTAATTGGGGAAAGATTTATGTTTGATACTTACCTTTTCTTTTTTCTTGGTAGAGGTTAAGGGGTATATTTAGGAGAAGGGAATGTGTGAATGGGAGTCAGATTTTTGCCCAGCCATTTAACATCATGGTTTGCTGACCTTAGTTGTTTTTATTTTGTTTACCAGGGGAGATTTATTTATTTTGAGGCCAATTTAATTTTTGTTTGTTTCAGTTGACTTCCATCTTAGGTCTATTTTTTTTTTATGGACTTTATTTTTGGAAATTACTTTCATTGGATCTGCCCCTGTGTGTAATTATTATTTAGAAGAAATAAATCTTCTTTCTTGTTTACAACCTGTCCTGCCTGTTCTTGGCCACGCCCTTACAGCGACCTTCAAGTTATGAGTCTACTTAACCTTGTATTATTTCTCCTCGGCATTACTTTTACATTATATAATCTACAATAATAATAATTTGTATTTTTATTATTACGATTATAAACAGTTGACGGTAGCCATTAAAATACTATGGAAGTCAATGGCTACCATCATCTGTCTGGTTAGAGACATTCTTCAAAATATCTTCTTTTGTGTTCAACTGAAGAAAGAAACTCATGAGGGTGAGGAAAGGATGGCAAGATTTTCCAATCTTTTAAAAAAGTACTTTTTTATTACTAAGGCATCATGGTAAAAAGTTTCGCACAGACAAGTACCACTTAATCATGCTTAATTTTGTAATTTGTTAAATTAATGTAATCCGTAAACTCTGTACTCCACTGACCGATTGACCACATGAATATCAATAGCATGCTATGGCTATCAATTCTCAATTATATTATAGGCTGTCTGTTTTTGATATATTAAACTTTGTCATCAGTCTATTTGAAAATATTTTGCTTATTCTGAGTCGTGGCACAGCGATCAAAGTCCCATTGAATTGTTGAAAGTGAATGCAGTCACAGAGGTGATAATGCACACCTGCATATGTGCATTTATTTATGCATGTCATTTAAAAAACGATGAGCAAGGTCACACAAGCACTCAAGCCAGCCGCTAATATCCCAAAAGCAGTTTTGACGGAGTTTCTGTTAGCAGTGATTTGGCTGTACGTGGCAGTTCAAGGCTCACTTCCAAATGTTCTGTAAACATTCTCCTAAAAGCATTGGATGTGGTGGAGGTGGCGGGCCAGTTGGTGACATCCAACCAGACAACCTGTTAAGTGAATTCACACAGACAGGAGAACAGCTGACGCTGACCTTGTGTTTGATGTAGCAAGGGCGAGCACACACACTTCATCTAGGCTGGGGAGGCGCTGGGGAAAACGCTTCGACCTGTTGACCTCATCCTTGATATGCATACGAAGAATTGGAGGTAAAGACGTCCTCGTTTAAAGCTGAACTCAGTATAGTGGGATTATCAGATATAAAACTGACTCTAACATTCTTCAGCGTTACAGATGATTTCATTTCAATTGTATGATTACTATTGTTTTACTGGTAGACACTTGTGCAGTGATTTGATTCCCTAATAAATGTTGACAAGTCGTTGAATTGCAGTTTAATTTCTGTCTGCGCCGCCTCTCCTCTCTCGTGTTGTGAAAGGCTCTCACGCAGCGATCTGTCCTTGCTCATGGGACCTTTGCTTTGTGGGCTTTCTGACTCACAGGATGAATTACAAGAGGGAAGAGTACATCCGCCTCTCTGACATCCTTCGCCAAAGTAACCCTTCAAAAAAGCTAACCCCTGCAACAAATGCCTTACATATTTGCTTAAATAGGACATATCATGGAAAGCTGGCTCATTTAAATATAAAAGTTGTAAAGGTGCAGTTTAAAATGAATAGCAGGAGTCAGAAAGAAGCTCAAAACGGATGCATGACTAACTTTTTGATGCAAGAAACCTTGACTAATATTTACTAGGATGCGTTGTGACTGTACCTTATTTTTGTTGATCATAAACATGTTTTTAATGACAAAAGAAAACTACAGATTAAACATTTGTTGACCAATTTACTGCTAATTTACTGTATTGATGATAATGTTGTCTAGCTTGTAAAGTTTTATCAAAGGTTTTATTGAAATTGTGAGAATTATTATTAGTGGTAGTCTTGCTGTAAAAAAATAGTTAAGGAATATAAATAAATTTATAATCTTTCATACTATGTGCAGTTGTTTGTGGTTCAAAGTCATTATCAAGTTTATTTTATGTGCTTATTTTTTATACACAACTTTTGATGAAGAATATAAATATATATTTTTCTGTTGTTAGAAATAGCTTATCATATTAGTGGGCACGCCATAGCTAGTAAAAATCTGTGAAAATTAAAGAAATAAGTGGACCATATTAGTTTATTTTATGAATACTTTTTAACTTTTTTTTCTATTTTTTTTTTTAATTTTAATACAAATTTAAATGGATATTATTCATGAAGAAAAAAAAAATATTATTTATTTTTACATATATTTTAAATAAATGTTTCTATTTATAAATAATTATATATATATATATATATTTATAAATAATTATATTTAGGTTATAAATATATCATATAAATCTATATTTATAAATAATTACATTTAGGTTATATATATATATATATAACCTAAATGTAATTATTTATAAATATAGATATATATATATTTATTTTTATTTAAATGTCCTCTACCGTTGAAAAGTTTAAGGTGAAATATTATTATGATTAAAAAAAAAAACTGTTTTCTATTTTAATATGGCAAAGTGATGTGATGGCAAAGCTGAATTTTCAGCATCATTACTCCAGTCTTCAGTGTCACATGATCCTTCAGAAATCGTTATAATACGCTGATTTGCTGCTCAAGAAACATTTCTTTCTCTTATTCTTTTCATTGTTCGTTCAGCTGCGTAATCATTTTATGGGAAATGATCAAAATAATGCGTCTGTGCAGAATAAAAGTATTGGTTTCTTTAAAAGAAGAAAAAAACGAACAATAGTTTAAACGCACAATTCTGATACAATTTACACATACAATTTGCCGGTGGAGGGATTGTAGCAGCCTCTGATGGTTTGAAATGTCAGAGGAGTAGAATGAAGGGCCAGATAGCAGACAGAAGATGACAGGCAGGCGGCAGGTTTACAGCGGGACGCGTGCCCTCATCTTATCTGCTGTTATCAGCCGTCTCCCCAATCCAGCCCTCAGCAGAATATCAATGGCTCTCTTTCTGTCAGCTGACTCTGTGTATCATGCAAATATGACTGATAAAATAAATATGGTGAGTTTATGGGAAGGCAGGGGCAGCCAGAGGTTACACGGCTCTGCTGTTGCTCTGTGTAGATGAGGTTAGACTCACCTCCATGTGTCTGTCTGTCTTTCTTTCACTTCAGGTGTTCAGGAAAAAAGCTGTTGAACTAGGAGAGAAGCTGTTGCCGGCTTTTAAGACCCCGACTGGCATCCCCTGGGCTCTCCTCAACCTAAAGAGGTCAGTGACGCACAAACAAACACATTTCCACATGAACTCCTGAGGCTTTCTTCAGCCAAGCAGGTCAGATCTCTCCACTGCATGTCTTATTAACTCGCAAGCGCTGTACCTGAATCCTCAAACCCAGCAGCGGCTCTCCGTCACCTGTGCACCCGCTCCTTCAAGATATGATAATGAATAAACATTCATTAGTCTGGAGGGATTATTTTGTTGCAGAAACCATTTTCTGCAGGAGCGATTTTCCGACTAAATGCTGCTTTCTTTGCAGTCAGTCTTTTTATGCCGTTATTCCTGTTTTGTAATATTTTTGGCATATTTTAGCCTAGCTTGGTGTCAGAAATGTCAAATGAGATGCAGATACATTAATTAAGATCCATAAAATGAATGCTCTATTGCAATATGGAAAGAATATATTTTGATTCTAAGTTTTGTTAGCAGTAAATCACTTCCAATTAAAGTCTATGAGGCTTTAAATAAAAAAAAAAAAATGCAGATTTTTTTGTAAAACAACTTTTTTGCCGGTGAATTTCTGGTTACCATATTGTATTATTATGGTTATCAACCAGCAGTGTTATTTTAGTATTATTTGAAAACTTGTAAAGTATTTGTTAGTATTTTGATTTAGTTTTCATTTAGTGATCAAAGTAATTTTGTCATTTTTTTTTTTGTTCTGTTTAGCCTTAATTCATTTTTAGTTCAGTTATAGTCATTTTAGTACTTGAGTTGATTTTATTTCAGTCACATTGAAGTTTGTTTTTCATCTGATATTTATTGTATTTTAGCATTATTTCAAAATGTGTTGTGTGAACATTTGTGGGTTACAACAATAGTCTAAGATAGACATGGTGATATATTCATATATGCGTATGTATTCATGCATGCAATTTCATAATCAAAGACTAATTGACTAAAGGTTTTGATCATAAGTACATCTAAAGGCAGACGTGTTTCTACTATGTTTGTGTTGATGAACTATAGTTTTATTTTATACTACTAGTGCTGGGTTATTTGATCAAATATATACCATGCGGAAGTCGAAATGTCAATGAGTAAAGATTTTTATGTATTGTTTAAAGTGTACCTCTGTAAATCAATTTGCAAAGTCAACACGAGGAGTTTAGTCATTTGCAGTTCCCACAGTATTACATGCTTCAGACATAACTCATCCAATAAGAATTGAATTGATATAACAGTAAGCATTTACACTGATGCCAGAATTATTGTGCATCTTTTGATTTGCATTCATTACTTTCCATGCAAAATAATAACAATTAAATAGTTAATTTAAGTATTTGATTCCCTGTATATTGATAGTTTATTGATGTTTGGTAACAGACCATCACCGTAATATATAGACCATTTTACAAGATGTAAACAACACTGGTCCAGAAACACTTCCTGGTTCAGTTTTGTAACTGTTTTCTTTATTTCACATGTAAAGAAAAGGTTTAACTTTTTGATTCAGTTTTATATGTTCTGTTGGTTGTATTTTATCCCAGCTTTTATTTAGTGTTGAAAAACTGAAACAGGAAGTGCTTCTGGACCAGTGTTGTTTACATCTTGCAAAATGGTCTATAAAATGACATGATCCAACCCGCCCCTGTTTCACACACCTATAAGTATCATGGTCGAGCTCGCAGATGTCCTGGTTTGTGATGGATGTCTGTCCACCTGATCTCTGAAGAGATTCTGAGAAAGACAACCTGTCAGAGAATCTGATTGGATGAGTTATCCCTCAACTGACATACTACCTAACAGTTGTCTTTATGCAGTCAGGCCCCGCTGGCAAGGACAATGCAAAAAGAGTGGGCGGCACATGGCAGAGAACAGAAACGCATACTTCAGTGTTTATCAAAGCTTTTCCTATCAGCTTGAGTGTCTAGGGTGTGTTTCCTTGTTTAAGCTGCTGTAGAACTGGAGTGAAGTGCCCTGACAAATGCTCTAAATGGAGCGGCCGAGCATTTACCGTTTTATAACAAGGAGCAGCTAATAACACAGCTACAGGACAAATGGTTTTCAGTTCCTGTCAGTAAATATAGCTTTCCACCATATCTGCACTTAGCACAAGTGCTCCTAACACCTCTAGCGAAGGCCCTTACCTTCTTCCATGTGGGTCACCTACATCGTTACTCCACATCGCTAATGCTGTTCGCTTCCCCGCTATTGTTCACTTTGGCTCGAGGCACCCGCGGTGCCAGTAATTCGTGTCGCAGACCCTTTTCAGACTGTATGTGCTAATGTAAGTGTATTCATCTAGCATCCTAATGCATCTTCAGTTGAAGGCTTTTCAAGGAAAGGCAATCTTTTATTTTGTAAAAGGATTTTCTGATTTTTAATGGGCTTTTAATGGACACGCCATTGTTTTTAGACCTGTCAGTAATCGAAACTTGAAATTGACAAAACTGCCCATCCCTAGTTTGTGTAGTTGTGAATAGGGCTGTCGCGGTTATGGAATTTCCCTTGCGGTAATATTGAGTGGCTCAATAGCGCGATATGCGGTATTACCGCCATTTATTTATTTAATTTATATGTTTTTGTTGCTATATAAATAAAGTTTACGATGTGGACAAAAACGAGGACATTTTCAGTAACCATTGTAACCGAAACTAAACAGCGTCTACAGTATATGCGCCTTGAAAGACTTTCACTCAGCGCGCATATTGTTATGACAACGAACTTTGAGCGAGTCATTGAACCGTTCATTCAACGAACACGTTTAACCCTCTGGGCTTCTTCGGTCAAAAACGACCGAAAACTTTTACGTTTTGAAATGTTAATTTTTTTTGCTTGATCGGATCGGGCTGAAACTTGGTGACTTTTGTTGTATTACCTATATGAACACACAAAAAAATCAAGGAGATAATTCTGATTTGTTAAAGGGTCGTAAAAAAAAAGTCACACTTAGCTTCCTCCCGGTCAAAAATGACCGATACAGATCAGCAACTTTGCAGAAAAAAAGTGTACAGCAATGAAGGGGTGACACTCTAGAACATCAAGAGTGCAAATAAGACCCCCCCCCCCCCCACACACACACACACACACACACGCACACAAACACACACACATACACACACAAACTGGCAAGACTGCACCAGCAAATTTGTAGAATATGAAAAATAAAATCAATAAATGAGAAAAAAATCTTGCTCAAATGTGCACTCACACACACACGCACACAGACATGAGAAATCATGTCTAAACCAACAAAAAGAATCAAAAAGCCTTTCAATGTATTTGAATAGGAAGCTATAGGCAGCCTACAGGCTGTACAGGACATTGCACACATGTAACTATTTTTTAAAGCCACTAGGTGGCGCTCTTCTACTTTAATTTTTTATTAGCTGACACTCTATTTTGATGTGAAATGTTGTATTTATTGAAAAAAATATATATATATATAAAATAAAAAATATGTATATTAATTCTAATGGAAAAAATAGCTCATAAAAATTATATAATTAATGCAAAGTATCATAAAAAAATCTACAAATTCTAAATAATAATCAGAAAATATTATAGAACAAAAATATATTTGAATGGTTATCCTGGGAAGAAGTAAAGTTAAATTTTAAGGCTTCGTCCGTTTTTGACCGGGAGGAAGCGGTCAGTGTAACCCATTTACGAAGAAGCCCAGAGGGTTAAAAAAGCTGATTCATTAAAACAGATGTAAAGAAACAATATGTATTTTTAACATTGATGTTCAACTTTTCAAGGCTCAGCTGAGCAGCAATGCGTCGCATGGGCAACGCTGAAGCTAATGCTTCACTTATTAGAGACCCATTGATTCAATGCGTGACTCACTGATTTTATTTCGGCTTCCTTGTGCTGTGGGATGCTGACCAGCGCTGCTTCTGACACTCATTTATGGGAAAATACCCGTGAAGATAACGTTAAAATGATGATGCAACAAATATTTCGCTTCCCTTTGACACGACAAGCATTTCACGACTTCAAAGCCAGACGCAGGTAATTGCACGCGCTCTGCCGATCATTCACTGTCTGTGTGAAGCCTGTAGGCTACACATCACCATGATAAACAGTCTTGTTATCATTATGAACTCGTTTAACATTCAATACACATGCATTAGGTTCAAAACAAGAAGGGTATAGCCTTATATATATATATATATATATATATATATATATATATATATAAAAACGTGAATATCGCGGTTGCTGCGGTTACGCGCAATCCTCTGCGGTTGACTTGTCAGAAGCGCGGTACTACAATATTGCGGTTACCGCGACAGCCCTAGTTGTGAAGTAGTCATTTTCAGTTGCCAGTATAAAAAAAGAACCAGTTGCCATAAAAAAGGTGAAAGATTAGGTAGCTGGGTCTGTTGAACAGTCGGTGACGAGCTGTTGTTTGTTCTGAGGGGTCCTCGGCGGCGCCATCATCATCCTTGATTTAGCCTTGTGTTCTTCTGTGTTGAAAGCTCTGGAGAGGAGATCATAATCATATTCAGTGTCTAATGAGAGCATGAATCACAGCGATCGTCAGTTTCTGGGCTATGAATTCATATTCTCTTCTGAATCGGTTTAATTGAGCAAATATAGAGATATCATCGAAGAGAGCGAGTAGTTATGAAACCCACTTATTAGGAAGAGGTGATAAACAGCTCAAATCTAAATTAAAGCACAGTATGTTTGGACTGATGTCAGATAACTTTATGCACTCTCCGATGTGAGTATTGACCCACTTGCGGCAGCAACCAGCCTCAAGCCAACAGCAATTTGAATTTGTATGACTTATGTGGGTTTTCTGATTATGCTGTCTGTCTGCTGTGAGTCCCCCCAGTGTTCCAGGCAGAGAATTAAAGGCGAGAAAAGAGCCCTCTTTTTACAGACAACCTTGACCCAGATTTGTCTGGATCAAGTCTCTATGGATGACTCTCCCTTCACACTGTCGGCTTCTGCTTGCACACCTTTGCTTTATAGCAATTGACTGCATGAGTGTAACGCCCTCTCAGTGGGAACAGTCATAATGTTTAATCTCTAAT